CAGACGCAGACGCAGACGCAGACGCAGAAGCAGCAGCAACATCATCATCATCATCATCATCATCATCATCATCATCATCATCGTCATCGCCAGTGTCACCATCAACACCACCATCAGCATCACCAACAGCCAGACCATCATCGTCATCATTGTCGCCGCGTTCTGCACAATCATGGCTTGTAGAAGTTCAGCAGTCGCACATGGATGCAGTTGCCCTCCATCTTCAGTATTGGCGTGCATGCTATGAGGACACAGCGGCCGCACTCCTCCCTCTGCGGATTCAGAGAACTCAAATCTGTCCACCAAGCTAATCCTCAAGTAGATGAACCAGTTTGTCATCTGAAGCCATTGTACGCAAATCTCCTAAGCTCAGACTAGCGAACCATTAGCCCTTAGGTTGACAGCTGCATCGCCGCCACGCGGAAGGCGCTTGCTTTCCGTGTCGTCAGCGGCAGAGGGCTCAGTTGGGGAAGGGGGAGGGGGCTAAAGTTGAAGTCTTGTTCAAGGATTTCGTGTGTATGGCGCAAATTCCTTTACTCTTCAATCATCTTCACCCCGTTGCCGACGTAGCCGTGGTTTCCAAGCATGCTGGGGCCCACGTTTGGCTAGTTCCTTCCGCAGCATATAGATTGCACAAGAAAGGGCACCTTAAAACAAACCCCTATGTAACCCCTATAATCCCTGTAGTTTCCATTTTCTTTTCCATCATCCCAATATATCCCTAAACCCTAAACCCTAAACTCTTCAAACTCAAAGCATTTCTGGCCCCAGACTACTCCCAAAGTCAGGCGATTTGGGAGCTGATCAGCCGGCTTTGGCCCTGCCTGGGGAGGGAGAAGAAAAGGCGCAGGCCCAGTCAATGGGTTGTAGGGGTTGGGCGGGTCCCAAAATTAGGGGTACCTACTATAATGGAGAATCAAATGGAAAAGAAAATGGAAAATGAAATGGAAACTGGGATTATATAGGGGATTTTATAGGGATTAGGGGTTCCCAAAATTAGGGGTACCTCATTGGGGGTCTCCATAGTAAAGATTGTAGTATTTTGGAGTCTATATTGGGGTGGGTGGATGTGAGGGTGGGTGGGTAGTTTTACCTGTTTTCGGTAGCTAAAGAGTATTCTTGAGGTTCAGGTAGTAGGGTAGTAGCGAGGATAGTACTGGTAAGTGGTCGCGTTAGCGTTTTAGGGTCTCAGGGATTCTAGGGCTGTAGGGATTTTGGGGGGTTTTACAGCTTCAGAGCTTTGTTTTCCTGCGCTCCTCCGGGGGATTTCTGGCTTTGCGGGCTTGTGGCTTTAAGGATGAGGAACTTGAGGTGTCGGGGATATGGATGTAGGCATTCTAGTTAGGGTTGTATGTTTTTGTTGTTGTTTTTTCAGATTTGGGTTTGGGGTGTAGAGATTAGGTTGAGGTTTCTGGGTGAGGGCTCAGGAGGGGGTTCAGGGTGAAAGAGGCAGGGATCCCTTTGGAGGACTCGGGATCCTATGTAGGTGCCAGCATAGCTAGGAGAGACTAGTATGAGGATCAGGTTGAGAGCTTCCCCGACATTTGCTTGCAGAGCTGATTCAAAAGCAGTTCGGCTATACGGCTTTGAGACTTCACTTGCCAGGTGGTTAGTGGCGCAGGTCTTGCACTAGCAGCCATAGCGCAACAGCGAGAACAGGATGGGGGTCAAAGTAGGGAGTTGGGAGCGATATGGATCGGATCATTTTGTCCTTGGAGCTTACAACTCTAGAGCCTTCAAACCTACAGGCCCTCACCTCGAAACCGGGACCATCAGATCCAAGTTAACCCATGTGTGCAAGACGCGAAGCCAGCAAGAACTTCTAACCCGGCTGCCCGCTGCAAGGTTGACGTAGGCCCTCATCCCTATTCCCTATGCCAGCATGCCGAATCGCAAGGCCCTTGACCAGTCGGACCCCACCACTTGCTCCTCTATTATATTCCTAATTTATTCCCTAAGCCTCATCCCCAAAACCCGAAACCCCAGAAGAGCTTTGCATAACACCCTAAACCCTAAACCCTGCATAGCCCCAAAACCTGAAGCCCTCCAACTCCCCGGCACCTTGCTCCAAAGGCGGCTGCACCAAGCTCACCTCGATCGGGGGAGGCTTGGGGTCGAGAATTGGGATTTAGGATTTAGGGTTATATAGGGATAAAGTAGGGTTGTATAGGGTCATACCCGGATTATATGGGTCATCTAGGCTTATGTAGGATTTTGGGACAGTACGCCAGCAATGGAGAATCACATGGACAAGAAAATGGAAAATGGCATGGACACCGGGAATATACTTGGATTCAGTGTTTAGGAGGGGGGCAGGTATAGAACGAAAAAATAGTGCTACTTATGGTTGTAGCTATACGGGATTATAGGGTCTTACATGGTTTTAATGTAGTTACCTAGTTTTTCCGTATCTAGGTCGAGAATCGGGTTTAGGGCTACAAATTCACGGTTTAGGATTGTTGATGGCAGGGAATGCCTAGGAGTTGTAGTGGGGGGCTTGAATTATGTTGCATGGTCTAGATTTTGTGGTTCCCAATTGAAGAATTTACTTGGGGTGCTGTTTTGGCTCAGAGCCGAAGGTTCCATGAGCTAGCAAGGGGCATGAGCTAGGTGGTATACTCGAGAAATGTCGCAATTGGGTAGCTAGAGTCATGAGCGTGCCCCCACAGTCAATGAACACCTTGGACCCTGAGCCATACCCTTGCACCTCCCAGCGGGCGCGTTAGATTCGGGATTTTGGGCGGGATGCAAATACATTGGGGTATGTATACCAGGGCTTGATTGGGTTCCAAAACATGTCCTGCTACCGCTCTGCAAGCAGAAATATTCGTAGGACTTGAGTCTGGAGTTTGTTTTTTTAAAATGGAGGCTTGCAGAGCTTAGTTCAGGGTTCCAAGGTGTCTGTCAAACATGTGGGATCAGTAGGCCCTTCTGAGATATTCAGCGTGCAGTGATATGGAGATTGCACAGAGGAATGTATTCAGGGTATTGGATTTTCCACCACCGAAAACTCTGCAATTACTATTACTATTACTATTACTATTACTATTACCGCAGAGCTGCGGATAAGCAGCTTACAGCTCGAACCACCAAACGACGCTGAACACGTATTCCAAAACTCAATCCACTGACCCGGGCAATTTTTAATCTCGAAGCGACGCAATTTCTGGGTACGGGCGACAACAGTTTGGTGCAAGATTTCCTCCCTTCACCGTACTATTATTATGGGGCGGAGGTGCACCATGAGATGTTATTGGGGATCTAACGTTTCAGAGTGACCTCAGGATCTTATCATACTCTAACCACTGGAGGCGGCCACCGATGTGTTATCCCTTCCGGCGCTTGCAGTGGTGGCCAACGGCTCGGGACCTCAGAATTTAAATGCTTCCTATTTCTATAATAGAAATTTCGGAAGAGAGTCTTGGCAAAGCACCAGCTGCCAGCTTCGCAGGAAGACATGCAGGATGTTTTCCTAGACATGGAATGGGGGAACGGGTTACAGGGACGGTAAGGGTTGCAATCTGGGTATGTAATGGCTACTATTAGGAGCCGTGCCTGCGTTCCCAACTAAGCATGAGTAAGCTCGTCAAAATTGGCGATACTCTCGATCTGAAACCAGCTTGATGCCAAAGCTCTGCACTGCGTGAGCGAGAGTCAGTGCTGCAACCCTTTGTAGGGACAGTCTTACTGATAGCCCTGAAAACCATAGAAAATGCAGGCTGCAGCATGTAGTTCCGAGAGTTAAGGGACCCACAAAGGCACGCCCTACAAATCAGGTTGTGCAGGCACACGCAGTTCCTGCGCACCATCCCATCACGAACTGTGACTGTTTTGCGTCATGCACGGTCATAGTAGCATGAACACTGATGCATCAGAAGGGATCATGTGAGGAGTATGGTCATGTACACTCGAACTGACTAGGCACCCGCTTCAGTGGCGTCACAAAGTTTGGCCGCAGTTCATCAAGGAGGACCCATGTGCTTCCTTAGGATTCTACATAAAGAGGTGTCGGCGTCATACGAGACACGGCAGGGCATATGAGAGCTGAAAGGGAGTTAGGTTCTTCCTAAGGCTTAGTCACAGTCCCTTCTTGGGGGATGTTTTTTCAAGATGTAACTACTAGGATCTGCAGGCTGCCTGTGTCCCCATCCTGCCCACCCTGAAGAGCGTCCATCCTTCAAACTCCCCTGCAAGCTCTCTTCAAAGCTTACGCACATATGAGTGAACTCACAGGACCCTGGTCCCAGACTACGCCATGACGGAGCCAATTGCTTCCCGATCCCATTTCAACGTCGTGCACGACCAGGACAATTTGAGGGCTGTGCATGCTTTGCAGAAGATTGTTCAGAGGCAGCATCATCATGACTCGAAAGCGCAGAGGCAAATGGTTTTCGAGAACACGGGAGGCCGTAGTTCCCCCGATCTGGAAAGTGAATTTGATTAGATCTGAATCCCGCTGTCCCATTCATAGCCGTCAGTGCGTTTCACGGTGGTGTGCATATGCCGGAAGATTCGTCCAGACGCGTGCGCAGGAGAGTGACCAATTCTACATTATGGATGCGGGGTCCAAATGGGGAACTTTCCTGAAGATCAGCCCGGGCCCAACAGTATTTGAGGTTCCCAAGCCAGCCGCAGCCGTGGACATGAGCGACAGGCAAAAAAGAAACAAATTACAACAATAAAGCCAGGGCGACTTAGTAATCATGGTATAGAAGCTGGAGGAATGGTTGCAAAACGTCCGCAGCGCCGCAAGAAGACTGGAGTTGCGACCGTCACCACTAGTGATAATGATTGTGAGGATGTTGAGTGCGCTGCTGCTGATGAGGACGATGATGGCAACTTTTGATAACGCGTGCCATCAACCGTGTCCGCGGAATTCGTAAAAGTAGTTGGTGGCAACAGCAGCCCCCACCATGACAATGGCAAGATTGAATGCATTCTTGAGGATAGTTAGTCATAGAGTGAACACCAGCATAGCTAGTTCACGTGAACACCCAAACCGTCCGTTACCTTTACTTGGAATGTCAGGCATATTCGCCATCGTAGTATGAAGCGTTCTACACCTTTTCCACTAGGAACCCACAGCTGCAACAATCATGACTTTGGTAAACACTAGCCTTTCCTGGCAAATGACGAACAACAAGGCTCCAGCGTCACATTGAGCTGCGGCAACTGGATCCGCGTAGGCTGGGCGCCTCAGGTAGATGGAGGTGAAGGGATTTGTTTCCCAGAAGGATTTCAGAGTATGAGTATAACTTGTCCGTTTCATCCCCGCGTCTAGAACTACCGTGGTGCCTCAGGTAGATTAGCTTGCGAAGGGGTTCCTACAAGGACAAGATCCTGAACCCAAAGATTGCCGGTAATTTCGGTGGCTGAACAGCTAGGTATTTCAGAGGGCTTTACCAAGCAAGAGGGTGTCTGAAGACTAGGTCGGGCATGATACTGGCCAGGGATATGCACTCTTCAAGGTGTAAGGAGCTTTCAAGGTAGTCCTCTTTGTGATCTTCTTGCATATTAAGACCTACCCCATGGGTTATATAGGGGTTGTAACAATATATATGGGTCTTTCCGTTAATTGGGGGTCAGGAATTCTTGACAAGGAGCATGGATGACCCCTCCGATACATACCACGATACATACCTCGATACATACCTCGATACATACCTCGATGCATACCCCGATTCATACCCCCACAAGGTCCCTTTCGTCAAGGGCCCTGTACTGCGAAACATACCCCGAAACATATCTCGAAACATGCCCCGAAACATACCCTGAAACATACCCCCGAAACATATCCCCGAAGCATGCTTTCACCACGGTTTAGCCGGAAACATCCATATAGGGATAGGTTTAGGGATTATATGTAGTGACCCCAACAATGATGGACCAGAAAGCGGAAAATCAAAAGGGAGTAGGGAGTATAGGGATTGTAAGGGCTTTAGGTATTGTACATGTCGCAAACGGGTCAATGGTAGATTGCGACCTGCAGGACAGACAGGAACCTCTAGGACACCCTCGAGCAACACCACTCCAAACATCTCCAAACATCTCCAAACATTGGCTTTCAGAAGGGTACCTGCAAGGACTGCAGTCATGCAAAGCAGGACTATAGAGGGCTCCATGGGAATTTGTTGGCCGGTATGCCCGCACAGGCGGCGTCGAATTCATCGTTCGTTTCTGTGGAGGCCTGGCCTTGAGCTGAAATATGTCGGCTGTTGGGCTACATCAATGGGGATTGCCTACAAAGTTACAGGTGTCCTTGTTCTGGATGTTATTCACGAGAGAAGGAGTGCATTGACTGCGTGATGCAAGGTATCTTGAAGTGCAGCAGAGGGTCATGCAGGATTTTTAGTAACGACAAGTACCAACCTAGAATCCTCCAGGTTCCTTACTCATGGAACCTGAGGGGTAACCAAGCAAAGTGCCCAAGAATGTAGGCGTCGTGCCGTGGTGCTCGTGTGTCAAGGATGTCATAATTCCTGCATCAGCAGCATGCAGTAAACTTGAGGAGTTATATATAGAATCAACATGGCGAAACAAAACCCCTCCCAAAGCAAGAGGCGAGCTTCTGGCCCCAACAGGTGGCACACAAATGAGTAAGCTGCAACTATGGTTCTACGGAATCCTGTTTTTGGGGTCCTTGACCCTGAAGTGAAATCTTACGTTTTCATGGGTGTTGGGTTGCCTTGAGCTGTTTCTAGGTGGTTGTCGCTGCCAAAAGAGCCATCGACACTACCGCCTGCACTCGTTGCGACTGATGCGCAGCCGAGTTTGGGCCCTGGCTTGGAAACGTAGGCCCTGATGAGAAACCGCCAAACCTGTTACTCATTATTATTACTGCTACTATTATTATTATTATTACTATTATTGATATTATTATTATTACCATTATTATTACTATTATCATTATTAGTATTACTACTATTATTATTATGCATATTTTATTATTACTATTATTATTATTATTTTTATTACTATTATTATTATTGGTATTGTTATTACTATTATTATTATTACTATTATTATTATTATTGGTATTACTATTACTATTATCATTATTATTATTACTATTATAATTATTATTCATATTTTTTTATTACTATTATTATTACTATTATTATTATTACTATTATTATTATTACTATTATCATTATTAGTATTACTACTATTATTATTATTATTTCTATTACTATTATTATTATTGGTATTTTTATTACTATTATTATTATTGGTATTGTTATTACTATTATTATTATTATTACTATTATTATTATTGGTATTACTATTACTATTATTATTATTACTATTATTATTGCCATTATTATTACTATTATTATTACTATTATTATTATTACTATTATGATTATTCTTATTATTCTTATTCTTATTCTTATTATTATTACTATTATTATTTTTTTTTATTAGTATTACTATTATTATTATTATTACTATTATGATTATTATTACTATTATTATTACTATTACTATTACTATTATTGAAATTGCTATTAGGACTGGTATTGGCCTTATCAGCATTAGTATTACTAGGGGTTACAGGGGAACCTGACATGTATCATCTCACATGCCCAAATCCATTGTTGGATCCATCGTTGGAAACAGTGAGAGATACGATAGTTCTGGAAGTTTCGAATGGATCCGTATGGTGCAAGAATGAATAGTATGGGCACCACGGAGGGTCTGGATGGGGATTATGTACATACACGGGATCAAAACGTTTCGGGATGAAATAAATGGACCCTGCAACTTTAGGGGCAGCAACCTTGAACCCTGCCAAACCCTAAACCCTTAACCTTAAACTCTCTGACTGTAGCCTTTAATCTGCACAGTATATTCAGGCTTATGAGGCTGGGGAGTTTGTCCATCAAGTGTAAAGGCCACGTCCTCTGTGTTTTCCGACGTCTTGCACATCAAGGGCCCTGGAGTAGAAATGTGGAGTTTCTCAAAACATGCCCTATTATTTCCTTTTTTTGGAACCCCATCATTCCATTGCCACCCCGTACGTAGATAGGCCCAGCATCCTTTGGTTCTATGAAAAAAGCGATTCGATTTTCGCAGGATAAGACTTACATACTGCAAATGGCATGTTCAAGGTGGTGATAGGTTAGCAATATAGGCCTATATTCCGCCAGTTTCCATGTCATTTTCTATTTTCTTTTCCATTTGATTCTCCATTATAGGTGGATAATATAGCCCTATATATATGTATATATATACAAGATATATTTTGTTATATATCATATCTGGTCATATCTATAGTCACATGAAAGAAGGAGAAAATCGGTCCGCACTGGACTCTCGGTGGGGTCCCCCATACATCGTTTGCAATCCCAATATGTACCTCCGTCTTGAGTAGCCCCCGCATCAACTACCGCATGCGCGCAGACCACACTCATTCCCTCCCCCGAATATTAAATTTAAAGGCCACCCCCCACCCCTAACAAACTATTGCAAATATTTAGTATTAGAGGGGTTGATGTCCTGAATCTTAGGGGGAGGTGATTAGATAAGGGTTCAGACCAAGGATCCAAGCAGTGGCCATAATTATTTGGCACATGCCCCCATCAAACAAGCCTAGAAAGCCTAGATGGGGGTTTCCCAAAATAAGGGGTACCATTTGGGGGTCACCAGATTAAGGCTTATAGTATTTTGGGGTCTCTATTGCGGCCCACTATTTGGGGAAACTACCAGATGCTAATCCGTGGACTGTTGTTGCTTATTGGCCAGTTGAGACCAAGAATGCTCATCAGCATGTCCTTGGGATAGCAGGGCAGAAGCTGTTCTGAGATTCGCATGGGTCGCCAGTACCAGTACTGCTATCACCAGTTTTATTGTCTTTGGGGTAATGACCTCTCGGAATTACGTAGGGTCACCCCGCTTTCTCCAGGACGAAGTATGCCTAGTTAGACGTGCCCCTAAGCATGGGACCCGTCAGCTCAACAAGTTTGAATCCTACAGTAAAGCACCAGACCCTACATCCTAAACAGCACAGCAACTGCTATTTATTCGTCTCTCATTTGTACCCACGCAACCCAAAGGGTTTTTACTTCCTGGGAGTGAGGCGATGAGCCTCACCAGGCGGGGTGGGCGCCGGGAAGAAGGGTTATCGTTCAAGGCATTTGCATCGACATTTTCAGGCGTCTATGGGGTATCAGAATTTTGGTTTGATAAGAAACCATGACAGTACTCTGAAGTCCATAGAGGATCATAGAGGCACATCTTTGTCAGACTCACATAGGGGCATTGGATTCCATACTCTTCCCCTCTCTCTAAACCAACATGCTCCATCCAAAGTAGCACCTCCAGACGTTTTTTTTGGTCGTTGAGGGAGGAGGAGACTTTTCAGGTCACGCTGCCTGCTTAGTTGAGAAAGAGAATTAAACGTAGCTTCCGACTCAGGCCTTGTTTATGTGTTTGTCCCTTGCCACGAAGCTAGAGAATCCTTGTTCACATTTGAGAAATCCCAGACTTGGGTCTGTTCTTCAGTTACAGCCATAAGTCATCGCAAGAAGTGATGTTGGCAAGGTGCGTCGTTTGCAGGGACGAGCTTTGTTGAACAAAACCACCTTGCAGCACTTGTTTATGAATTTGGTTGCAGGTGTCAGAAGCTTAATATTTCCCCTATATACTATAATAGTTTCCATCTTCTTTTCCATTATCCCTATATCACCCCTATATAACCCTAATATTATTGTGCTTCCGCGGGTGCTTCTTAAAGCCGGTTTGGGGGAGTGGTTTGCTTACTTTGGGGTTTTTGTATGTTGGGGTACTATTGGGGATAATGGAAAAGAAAATGGCAATTACTACATTATAATAGGGTATACATTGGGGTAATGTATTGGAAAAGAAAATGTAAAATAAATGGAAACTGGGATTATAGGTTTTATAGGTGGTATATTGTGAGCTTGGAGCCCCTTGCAGGCTCACACCGAGCTTCCCCGTGATTCCGGAGGAGGCGACATATGCGGTGGGTATTGGGATTGAGAGTACAGACATGCAATGACTGTGCAGGCCCACGGGGTTTACATAGGTTCCCAAAGGTATTCAGGGGGTTATGTTTGGAGTCCAACATAGGGATTGATGGCAACCTGTCACATACAGGCAAACCCTGCAGGATTATGTGGGTGTGCAGCAGCGAGTGGATCAAGATCAGAAATAGCTCGGCGTGAGGGACATGTGGGTGTTTCAGGTCAGGGTTGTTTTTCTGGGGCTGTTTCAGCATGGAACCAATTCATCTTCATATGTGTAGAAGATGTTGCCATGAAACTTGTTTCAATGATTTAGCGAAGATGGCCTTGCCTGAACAACTTATCGACTTACAGACTCTCTCAGCAACTGCTTGCTGAGATCAATTTGGGGTCGGTCGGTAGCAAAAAGAAGGAAGGCTGCCCACTTATGCTCACCCTTAAGTAGATCGAATATAGGGTATATCTTATTATCAATATACCTCAAGCCATGCTCTATCTACCTAAGGGGGACTATACCACGGTGACAGTAGGCGCAGCAGAAGTTGTCTGAGCCAAAGTAGTTTGACTAGACTGTGGCCCCCTTGCGTAAAGCCCCCGTAGCTAGGACAACTTGGAAGCATTCCACCCCACAAAAGCCCCCAACCTAAACCTTTTCCTAAGCCTCCAAAGCCAGTGAACCTCAGATTTCATAACCACAAGCCCCGCGCTGCAAGCCTCAGCCCAAGACCCTCAAGCCATGACGCCCCAGGCAGCATCGCCAAAGTCCGAGAGCTCCTCCAAGAAGAAGGTGTGCATACCGCGGAGCTGGGATTGTTGGGGTTGAGGGTTTAAGGTGAGGGATGGCTTAGTGTTTCGGGTTGTGGAGAGGTTGAGGATGGATCTTACCTCTGTGGCTTGCCAGCGAAGCGCTTATTTGCTGAATGTACTTGTTGCAGGTCTTCATTGGGTTGTGTTTTCCAAGGTCTTAGCAAGATTAGATAGGTCCATGCCTTTGGCGTTGAATAGCCTCAAAGCTGCTTTTGGACGAATTAGAATAGGGCTTTCGTGAGCGTACTCTTTTTTGAGCTGTGCATGGATAATGAGTGGATGATTTTCTCAAGTATTGCTGTATCCAAATACAGGTACTCTCACACACAGTCAGGGTATATATGGATTGCAAGAAGTATTGTGGCAGCCCATCTATCGAGACACTGCTCGCCTGGGCAGCGTATCAATGCTATTTTAGGGCGTGGGAGTATTGTAAACTCCGGCTATATATGCATATACATATATATATATATGTATGTAATGTAATGTAATGTAATGTAGTGTAATGTAATGTAATGTATTAACTAATGTATGTATGTACGTATGTATGTATGTATGTACGTACGTACGTACGTACGTATGTACGTATGTATGTATGTATGTATGTATGTATGTATGTATGTATGTATGTACGTATGATTGTTATAAGATGTAGTATACTGTTATATGGCGCGAGTTGGAAGGGAATACTGGATCCTCTGAGAGAATGGCTTGTATTTGTATCTTATGCCACCAGAAGCATGCTACCGGCTTCAAGATTCTCTGCTCGTGCGCATTCCCACAAGCCTCCTTGCTCCAGAGCGCTGCGCTCTCAGTCTTTTCCCACGCCGCATGCCTCAGACGTTGCAAGATACATCCTTAATCACTAAGCATGAACCACTGAATTGCCCTCACATTGTTGGACCGGACTCCCCTGCGCAGCCTCCAGGCCTACGGACAGGAGTCCTGAAACCATCAACCCTGGTCGGAACAATGTGCCCCCCTCTTTGCTAAGCTTGGCCAGGAAGATCCAGCAGTGTGCCCAGGTGCCTCCGCCTGGGCTTGGGGTCGGTGAGAAGGGCAAGTTGCGGTTCTGGTAGAACTCATGTCATCACAGCACTGTCCGCAACTGCTGATGGATGGGCAAGGAAGCTGTGTGCTGAATAGCACCTGTCGCAGATACATTCCTGGTAGGCACTTGAAAGTACCTATGTAAAAGAGAGCCAATGTAGTTTGTAGACCAGTTTTCAATCGAGCTTGTAACGTAGAACGACCAACAACGAAATTCACATCAGAGGGTCTTCTCCCTGCATAAGCCGCAGCAGAACAAGAGCTTCCAAGATGATGTCATGTAGCTACTGGTTTCACAAACAGTCCTGTATCTACTACGTATTGAACATGATGTGACCGGTGATTGCTCACATATGTTCACTCCAGCAACACTGGTGACCACTTCTTTGCTTCCATGATAGCGGCTGCGTTTGGACATGGACGTGATTCAATGCCACAGGGTCATGCATTCGCTCAGTAGCACAGCTATACACATACATGTGCGTCCTTTACAAACCGTTGCAGATTAAAAAAAAACCAGTGGAGGAGACGCAATGGAGTATACCCTCCTTTGAATTTGCTCTGGCTAGCATCTGTGGGGGATTGGAAGGCCCCCTGTAAAGGCAGTAAGGATGCTTTCAAGAAACATTCTTTTTCTCCAGGTGTGAACCGGCCTGCGAGCGGCCAAAGGAGGACCACGGCTCAGCGTTTTGGGCCAGGGCTTCCAATGGCAATCATCCTTGTAGAGGGATGACATACTAGACAAATGGGATCACATCGGGATCATGTCATTCGAACAGGGACAACCTCGTAGTACTAAGCCCTTCGAAGCATTTGCGGAGGTTTAAGTTCAAAGGGTGCCCGATAATCACAGACATTTTTGCGGCATAAACACAGAGCTCACACTGCCACCGATTAAAGCCCGACAATTGGGACCAGAATGTGGAAACATTGCCAAAAGGTTAATGGGCTCTTTCATTTTCAGAAGATTATAGGATCATCCACGTAGCAGTTGTATGAATCTCCAGCTAGGACATGCGCTCTTGTTGAATACCCCGAGGCTCCCCCGACCCACAGGCCCACACCCTACAATTTCCTTGACATGCGGGATTCCATATGCATAAGAGTGGGTAGCCAAAACAGTGCTTTGGGCATGAGCTTCTCAGCGCGGCATTCCCCAAGGGTTCTCTCATGTACCGACAAGCAAGCCATGCAACACAGCTGAATTGAATGAGTGCGGGACGTAGCACATGCTGACAAGGCCCCGGGGGCGTGCGTTTTATCGGCTACCACTGTGTTGCCAGTTCACAAGCAGCAGTGTTCTAGGTTTCATCGTAAGGCCCTTCTTCTTGTCTGTCATTCCTACTGTAAGCTGCAGACCCCCACCAAAGCTCCGAATTCAAAAAACGATATTTAGCGCCCTCCCCACCCCAAAAACTGTCTATCATGACCCCCATAAACCCCCCCCAACCCCCTTGACCTGCCCTAAGCCACTTCCCCGAGTCCTATACCTCGAATAGCAAGGCCAGCAGTGGCCGACAGACTCGAGGATGGCGCTTTGGCTAAGATTCTCTGCTCTTTGGGTTTTGGGATTTGGGGTTCATGGTCTAGGATATGAGGGTGTAGGGATCGGGGACTGACGAGGTTTAAGGTTTTAGGAGTTTGAGGATATAGGATTCGAGGTTTTAAAGCTTAAGGATTTCAGGTCGTAGAATGTGAGGGTTGAGGGCTCAGGGGTTCAGGAATGCTGATTTTTTCCTTATGTAGGAATGCAAGATGTATTCTTGGCATCTGGGATACCTCTATTCTGAGAAACCTCAATAGTTATTCTTGGATGTATGGAGTTGGGGGAACAGCTTTTAGGATTTTAGGACGTATTATGCGAGATCAAATAGTACTCCTAAAGGGAACTAGCCAAGGTGGATTCCGCAAGGATTCGTCGGGTATCTGTAGGGCTGTATAGGGTCTCTATCAGTTCGAACCTCCCCTCCTCTGACCCCAAAGACCCGTACCCTGAATCCTGTTCCCCAAACCTTTAATTCCTGGCTTTAGACCCTGAATCCTTAATCTTACCTTTGGTGAGCTAGGACTAGGAATGAATGGATCCTTATGATAGTGCCTCTATAACCCATTAGAGTAGTTTCCATTTTCTTTTCCATTCCTTCATTCCCAGCTCACCAAAGGTAAGTAGTCCCAAACCGTGAACCCAGGTGCTGAGGATGGGTCCTCAGATGAAGAGATTTTGCCAGAGAGCCGGCTGGAGGCTTCAAACAATCAGGGGGCTAGGGCTTTAGGGCCGCATCACCAAGCCTTTTCCTTGTTCTTACCTTCGGTTAGCTGGGAATGAAGGAATGGAAAAGAAAATGGAAACAACTATAGTGGGAAATATACGGATTACTATAAGGATCCATTCCTCCAGTCCTAGCTAGCCAAGAGGCAGCGTCGTTGGCTTATGCAGGGCTTTGCTTCTCATCAAAGATTGATGGCTGACTTGTTTGTTTAGAGCTGATTATAGCAGTTTCAATTTTCGTTTCCACTATCCTTATATAACCCATTATAATATACACCAATATATACCAAATTGTAATGTAGCAGCTTCCAGTTTCTTTTCCATTGTCCCCATATAAGCCCTTATATTACCCCAATAACCCCAAACCCCAAAGTCATCCCCAGGGAATCCTTCATAGGGACCCCCCTCCGCCCACAGTCGTGTTGTTCCACTTGCCTCTGAGTCCTATCACTGCCCACTTCGAGAGATTGCCATTGAGGATGCAAGTTTCAAGCTGAATTTCATACTGCAGGAATACGCTTGTCCATTTGCAGCATGGGGAAATGTTGAGAATCATGTCTTTGGGATGTCCTCCCAAGGCCAGGTAGAATCTGAGTCTCACGTAGTCCTCCTGAATCATCTGTAAGCTGGGCTATCCAGCTTGCAACTGAGATGCAATCCTGAAGCCCCAAAGCCTAAACTTATGGTGGTTAGTAGTAGGAAATGTAGAAACCGGTTATGGGGAGTATGTTAAGGGTTTGTACAGGGATTACTACAGGAATCCATTCCTCCATTCATTTTCTTTTCCATCCCCTCATTCCCTACTCACAACCAGCGAGTTCTCCCTTCAGCGAGCGATCCGCCAGAACGAGCTGATGCTGACTCTCAGCTCGCGGAAGCCACGGGGGCAGGGAGCTCGGATGAAAATATTGTGCAAGCCTGCGGAAGGAATTATGGCTGCATCTTCTGCCTCTTCTTCCTCTTGTAGAATGAACTAAGTACTGCTCTTCCTACTGATGCCCGTCATCAATGCGGCTATTACTCTTAGTATTGCCACTATCATGGTTCTAGTATTGTCGCTACTACTACTGCTGCTTCTGCTCCTGTGAGGGAATAGTACTGCTGCTGCTACTACTGCTATTGCTGCTACTTCTACTCTCTGCAACGATTACTCCTGCTGTTAGTAGTACTTCTTCTAGTAGCATTAGTAGCCCCAAGATTTTTACCCTAATGCATTTTCCCACCATCTCAATACGTTCTGACTATTTCCAGGTGTGCGTAAGAACACTCCAAACTGCCTGTTCATGCAGGTGGCTCTCTACCGCTACGAGGCTCAGCCAAGAGGCTGCGCGTTCGCCCAATGAGGCCTTCTCGAAGAGGGTTTTGAAGGGGTGTACAGTGTACAGGGTACAGATTTCAGCAAAGTAGGGGTTTGTGGAGTACGTATTTTTAGCCTGGGGCAACGTGCATTCGGGTTTTCAGAGGTTGCAGAGCTTTCAAGGGGATGACTTGGTGTCGGAATCTGGCGTGTGGTTCACGCCGTAAGGCCTGGGGAGTGGTATGATGGTTGCTAACAGTACATACCTTTTTTGGGGCTCCCTAATGAAGGATTGTATTTTTTTTGCGGTCTATATTGGGATCCCCTACCTTTGGGGCTTTCCAGTACCAATTTTTTCGTCATTGTTGCTGCGGTCATTTCACTGCTACTATCGTTGCTACGACTTGCTGCTGTTACTGCGGCTGCTGCTGCTGCTGCTGCTGCTGCTGCTGCGACGGCGACGACGACGACGACGACGACTGCAACTGCTACTGCTACTGCTACTGCTACTGCTACTGTTGCTACTGCTGCTACCGCTGCTGCTATTGCTGGTACTACTATTATTACTTCGTCTGCTTCTACTGTTTCTTTTTCTACTTGCGCTGCTACTTTCACTGCTGCTCCTATTGCTACTGCAGCTGCTTCTGGTACGTCAACCATGACGACTACAACTACGACTGCTGCTACTGTAGCTACTGGTGCTGATGAACCAGAGCAGACTTGTCACTGGTCCTGCATTTGTGCCCAACGACATATAGTTTCTGTTGAATCAAGGAGGCCAGCAAAGGGTACTGTGCAAATTGTGCGGTCTTTTTTTTGTGGGACCTACAGCACTTGTAGCCGTAGAAATGCTTACTTGTGTCCCACCCATTCTGTGGTCAACCGTCAGCGTTGGCCCCTCAGCTGCATGAAAGGCGTCCCTCGCGCAAGAGGGGGTGAGACAGCGCTGGGACGCGGACAGGCAATTTGTTCGCGTTCCTAAATGACCTATAGTCTAAATTCCATAAGGGGGGATATAGGGATCATATAGGGGACTACTAAAGGGGATATTAAAGGGGATACTAGGAGTTTAGACAGTAGCTCAAATGACCTATGCTTGCCGTGCTTCTTGTCTATAATTGCCAGGCAGTGTTGCTGGCATTGCTGCTGACCATATTGTGGTGATTCATGTTACAGCCTTGTTGTCACCTGGCCTGGAGATCCAGTAACAAGGAACGAAATTTCACAGCTCATACCCCTTGTAAGGCCTTGTACAATATACAGGCCGGAAACATGCTTTTCCTAAGTTTCGAACTCGGGTGTAGTCAGATATTTGAAGCTTGAGTACACACAAGCCCAAGCAGCTTGCATTCGTGTCCGGAACCATTCTAAGAGTCGTCTGCATTTGGATTTGTTTCATCGTGCTCTTT